CAAACCACCAACCAAACCACCAAACCGCCAACGCCACCAACCAAACCACAAAACCACCAACCAAACCGCCAAACCACCAACCAAACCGTCAACCAAGCCGCCAACCAAACCGCCAACCAAACCACCAAACCACCAACCAAACCACCAAACCGCCAACGCCACCAACCAAACCACAAAACCACCAACCAAACCGCCAAACCACCAACCAAACCGTCAACCAAGCCGCCAACCAAACCGCCAACCAAACCACCAAACCACCAACCAAACCACCAAACCGCCAACGCCACCAACCAAACCACAAAACCACCAACCAAACCGCCAAACCACCAACCAAACCGTCAACCAAGCCGCCAACCAAACCACCAAATCACCAACCAAACCGCCAACCAAACCACCAAACCACCAACCAAACCACAAAATCACCAACCAAACCGCCAAATCACCAACGAAACCGCCAACCAAACCACCAAACCACCAACCAAACCACCAAATCACCAACCAAACCGCCAAACCACCGAACCAAAGCATCACTTAGAGGGAGGCCGACACCCAGACCCACTCTGAGGCTGAGCTGCTGGAGCCCAAGCGGCGCCTGGAGGCGGAGGCTCAACTGGCGGAGGCGAATGGCCGGACGTGTCGGATCTACGGAAAGAGTCGGGGAAACCAAGAGAACACGACCAAGCGAAACAAGCCCAGAGGAATCCAAGAGGAAGACTGGTTTGAAGTCAAGGGTTACTTTAGGATGCGCTCGTGTGCACAGTGATGGAACATGGTTGGCTTCGGATTTCCACTGTCACATATGTTGCTTGTGTTTAGCTTCCTTGCAGATTCGCCTTTGGGGGACCCCCAAAGGGAGATTCCCCAAAATGATGGTTGTTCGGGTGCCGTTACCAAGGGATGCTGTTTGAGTTGATGAAGTTTGGCATTGTAGAAACGATTATTCTACACCTGGGAGGTTGGGGAGTGCGGAGGGGGAGGGGGTAAGGGGCTGGGGTCGAGGAGGAAGGGGTGTAAGTCGAGGTTTACGATTCGGGAGTAGTGTTCTTTTGTCTCTTACTGTGCTGGGTGGGATTTGTTTTGCCCTTGTTTTGTGTGGTTTCGTGGGAGCTTTGGCACCAAAACAGTCGCGCAGGTGTTGAGTTTGATTGGGTTCTCTATATGTCCCCTTTCAACATCACCCCGCCGAAAGGAAACTTGTTGAAACTTGGACCACAAGCTGATTGAGAGTTCATGTGATAGCGCAGCGGCAGCATGCGATGTATTGGCAATACTTGACCAACACGGCCACTGCCATGTTGGCTGAAGTTTAAGAAATCGAGATTTCGTCCCTAGTTGCATACACTTTTATAAACCCACAGGGATATCTAGGCCACCCTGCCCGTGCTCGAATCGCGGAAATCCCTGAGGTTGGAGAGCGCTTGCAGGCGCTGCTGACCCGCTGCGAGCAGGCAAGGCAAAACGATTCTTGAGGAAAGTGTGTGTGGGGGAGGGAGTGAAAATTGAGCCTCTTTTCAAGTTGGTTTGGCCGGGCTTGTGGTTTTTGAGGCTCTTTTCAGGCTCTTTTCAAGTTTGTGTTTTTAAGGCCAGGGTTTGTGGTTTTTGAAACGCTTTTCAAGTTGGTTTGGATGGGATTGTGGATTTTCAGGCTGGCTTGGGTGGGTTTCATGTTGGCTTGGGGAACTTTATAACCTCTTTTCTTTTCAAGTTGGTTTGGGTGGGTTTCTGGTTTTCAGACTCCTTTCGAGTTGGCTTGGGTTGCTTTGTGTTGTTTGAGACTCTGTTCAAGTTGATTTAAATTTGTTTTGGATCTCTTGACTTGCAAACTGAAGACAAGACACGGCCTGTTAGCTCCAGTTGTTTTGCGAAGCTGTGCCTAGCCCTCGCATTGTCGAGGTTTGACTCGCCAGGCTGGGGTCTCTCTGGAGGCCTTGCCGGAGAGTGGAGGCGAGCCGAAAGATCCAACGGATCTGACCCCCAAAGCCGAGGCTATGCTACAGACTCAGACGACCAAGGGAGCGCATTTTGGTTTCAGGTCACACCAACTTTTGTTTGTTGATTTCAGCCACTTGTTCTGATGTTTTGGCGGGAGGGCAACAGGTAGCATCCTTGGAGCCAGCCTTAAATTCTGAATCAGGGTCAGTCCTTGGTCCTTGTGTTTCTGATTAGCCTGCAACTGTGCGAAGTCTGTGTAGCCGATTGGAGGTCCAAGGCTCGTGACTGGGAATTGGCTTTGCCGACATCAAGGGCTGCCCAGGCATATTCGGCGTTGGTTTGTTTCCGATTTGCCGAGCCCGACGTCCGAACTAAAAATGGCCCGTGCCGAGACGCATCGGAATCCCATCCAAGTGGCTCTAAATGGCCCATAACTTCAATTTCCCCAAAAGGAAGCCAAGGGGAACGCCAAGTCTGCACAGCTTTTCAGAACACGTATTTAGAGCCCCGCAATTTATGGATCAATAGCAGGCGCGTCGCTGTGTCCGCCAGGGCCACCCGCGGAGGTGCGGTCGGGCGAAATTCGAAGTGCTGACGTATGGGAGCATTTGTCGATCTTCAACGTCATCTTCTTTCAGGGACTCACCAAGAACAGGGGACAGGGTTTTATCTCGCTGAGCAGCATTTGTTTGTTTTATCTTCTTAAAGGCTGGGGGAGTATGACAATGTTGCAAAGCGTTATCTTTTTTTGAGGGGATGCCATTGGGCTGCCTTCACCACATGACCAGACAAAAAACAAAACCTAATACCCCATATAAAAAAGACAAACTCTTCGAACAAAACAATACTTTTTTGCCTTAGGCAGTCTTGTTTCGGGGCCAGTTGTGTTGCTTCTCTTACAAGTTGGCTGACCTTTGAGAAAAAACACCTTAGAGGCAAACGGGAGACCCTGGCCCAAAAGGAAGACTCATAAGCAATAAATTCACTCCGGTTTCACCATCACCGAATTTCCAGATGCCCGCAGACAGGTGCCCCTCTTGTAAGGCTGTTGTATATAGACACGCCTTACCTTTTAGTGTTGCTGAACGCGTCGGATTCGCAGGGAAGTGTTCCCCTCCAGAAAAAGCGAAGGATCTCGAACATGGACCGCTTGCTATTAATCAACCGGGGGTTGACGAATCCTGGCTCAAGCTCACTTGGCCATGCATTTTCATGTGGGATCCCTAAGTGGACAACATCATATGCACCGAATCCCCAATTAAGCGACCCATTTTGCTGCACTTTTTGACCCCCGGCTTGAGGTCCTCACGCTGGACGCGGAGCCTGGCCCGCCGGCGCTGCAGGCGATGTCTTTGCATCCCCAAGTGTTCCACGCTGCGCGGCCCAAAACTGGGCAGCGGGTGTTACCCATTTCGGGGGGTTGGGTTTGAAGGGAAGCCGAAAGGAAAGCCCACGATGTTTGAGCCACCCATGGTTCTTTTTTGAGGCCTGCGCCCGGGCCACCGATGCCCCGCCCCGGACCCGAGATCCATTTCGTTTGCGACATGCGTGCCACCCTGAACCGTAAACCTAAAACTAAACTCGAAACCAAACCGCTAAACCTAGAACCTAAGCCCGAACCCTGAACCCTAAACAGCCCAAATTCTACACCGAAACGCCAAACCGAAACCCATTTATCTCCAGCTAAACCCGACATCTCAAAACCTGCACAAGCCTATTTCCTGAACCCAAGGCCTAAAACCTTCGAGCTACCCCCGTAAACCCTGAACCTAAAACCTAACCCCAAAGCCCAAACCCTAAACATAAAGCCCAAATCCAGATCGGTGTCACGTTCCGGAAGGCACGTAGCTCTGGCCCGGCCAAGTACGGGCCGGCAATATTTTTTCCTGAACACCAGCAACATGCATGCGCCGAACTGGTATTCGGCTTCTACGGGGAGTGCCGGCCACCCACTACTGGGGCTTGGGATATTTTTCGGGGACCCCCCATTTTGACACAAATGAGCACTCAAGGAATCCAATTCTCCCCCCCTTTCTTGGCTCATTTACAAGACAGACATGAAACTGTTCACGCGAAAAAACTGCGACATGCCTGTAAGCAACTATGGGAAGCCCCTGTTGCACAAGGTAATTTAAGCAAAGTGCCTACGTGGTGAAAGCAACAAAGATATGCTGGTACCTCGCTGAAGACTCGCCGGAGCTGTTGAGCCGAGTTGTTCATGCGAATCCTTGCCATGGCCCTCCCCAATATGTTTGCCAACATTGTTCAAGACTTATGCAAGTGTTGCCCAAGTGCCCTTGCCAGATTTTGCGAATGCTCTTCTTTTGCTGGGTTTCTCAGCAAGTTGAATGTAGTGCAGTGCCCGAGGCTCTTCATGGAGCTTCCAATATCCCTAACGCAGACCCGGTCTATGGGGCAATTTTAGGTGTAGAAGTTGCCGGCATCCACTCTGCGACTTTAGTCAACCCTTGTAGTCTCCATTGGAACCATGGGCATCCTGGTAGCATACGAGTTGTTTCCTGCATGGCTGGGAGCTTGGCCGCGAGGAAAGCATCGACTGTCTACAGGAGGACATGTTCTGGGCGAGAGGCAGGTCCTTTGGTTTCGTCTCAAAATGAGGGCTTTAGAACCTAGTAAAAAGCCTCCCCCGCCAAAAAATAGAAGAAACACGATTCTGATGTCCACATCCGGCATCCGGATGCCAAGGGCGGGACCAATCGATCTACTCGCTAAAAGGTGACGCGCACACACACACACACAGTCATTTCAGGAGATAAACATAAGTACTATTAATAGTGTACTCACATGATCATGACTAAGTATGGCCCAATTCTAGTCATTTAGGTCCTCACACACTACGCCTTCCAACAAGAACGTTGTGAAACAGCAAGTCCGAATTAGACCAAATTAGGGTGGATGATCCGCACCTCTTTCCCTCGAGCTCGGAATCGACAAAGGACTCCCAAATCATATTCTCAGCTTTTGGTGTGCTTTGGACGGGATTTGGGGCAACCAACCGCAAGCAATTGAAGCGGATCGACTTCGATCGGGGCGAGGAGCTGCAGGAGATGAGCTCGGAGCTGGACCACTTCGGCAAGATGCTGAGCTCCGAGGTGCGGTTCACGGGAGGTGGGCAACCAAAATCCCGTGGATGGACGTCCAACATGTTTTTCGTATTTTACGTATGTGTTGTATTTGATATTTGGTGGGACAGCTCATCTCGAGTTCTCAAAGGTACTTTTGGGGGTACCCCTTTCAACCGTCACAGAGTAACTTTAGCGGACCAAAGCTCGAGTTGGGGCGGAAAGGGTTGGAGATGGATTGGTTTGGAGGTCAGAGATTCATATTCACAGGCAGGAAAAGGTGGACCTCCATGAGATTGATTGTGTTGGGTGAGCTGCTTGAATGGCTCACGGAAGTCGCATCTCAATGCGGGCAACTATCCGTCATGGCAAAGAGGTTGCCCCGGGCCAAAATGGACATGCCCACAGCCCCCAAGACGCACACGCACAAGCAACCCGAGAGGTGCTGCTGGACAAATGCTTCGCCGGAACTCACACATATTGGGGAAGACTGCTAACCAAGTGCAGGCGTCAAAGGGGGCCTATTTACCTGCTACAAGAACCAAGGGTTCAAATCTTCAAACCACCAATCCGAAGAGGCACCCACTGGCACCGAAGTACAGATAAGGTGCCCATGTGTGTGTGTGTGTGGGTGGGCTTGTCTCCTTTCATGCTTGCAACGCAGTGCCTCTCCTTGTGACAGCAATAGCAATGGCAACGTAGCCATGACAGTGGACTTCCCGCCTCCAGTTTACCACGTGTCCAGGATGCCTTCCTGGTGCCCGATGGGAACGGCGGGCAGGTGGAACGATCACTTCTCTCATTTGAGAGGCATGCCTGATGACCAAGGGGTGGGGGCAACGGCGCTTTCGTCAACCGCCAGAAGGCGGTGTTCGCGACAGTCACGACCAGTACTCTGGGAAGACAGCACAGGGCGCTGTCGAAGGTCGGTGAGGGTGGGTACTGCCTGCTCACGAAGAAATGCGAGCACTTCAGCAGCGAATTCGTGGCTGCGGGCACTGTTGATTGCGAACGCGGCGAGTCTTCTTGGGAGCGCCATCCGCTCAGAGGGCAGCAGTTACCAGTTCAGAGGAGGCTTCAGCGCAAGACAAAGTGGCTTTTCTGTGGGCATGCGCTTCAGTTTTTGAACAGCTAGGCACTGATGTGCAACGGTCTTTTCTACTTGTAGCACGAGCAACGTTTAAGAGGCTTTCTCTTTGTCTTCTCCTCGCAAAGGGGGCATCCTTGGAATCGATTCTGATGAAAGATTTCCGACACTGGATCAATGGTGCTGTATGGTGGTCATGGCCCGCAAAATGCACATTGGGCTGATTCCGGGCAATGGGGTCAAATCCGAAACACAAGTCAAAGGGAAATTGTACCCTCTTTCCATCAATCATGGAAGTGCGCATGAGGGTTTTGGAAGAACAAAGGCATGTTGCCTAACATCAATTCACTCAATGAATCAACAACTGCCAGTGTCGGTGAGAGCTTTGCAATATGTCTCAAAGTAGGGACCCCCCAACACACGTTAGTTTGCTTTTTCTCCCCTCTACAACCATGCCAAACGGGGCACCCTCAAAAAGCCGAGCTGCCCATTCCGGCCATTGCTCCGCCAGGTGCGGTTTGCGCCTCCGCGGCGGGAGGCGGTGCACCAAAATTGCCCTCTGGTCAATTGACAATGCTTGGATCCCCTTAATTGGTTGGTGGCCGAAAAATTGGAATGCTTGTGTGGATCCCCTCTGGTCAATGCCCTCTGGTCAATGGATGGTTTATCCCTCAAACTGCCAATCAAAAGGAGACATTTCGAGAAACTCCCAATGCTGACAGGGCTTTGGACTACTTTCCTTCGGGGAAACGGGTAGCTAGCTCATTTGGGTTTCCTTCATTTTCCCTTGCCGGCAAAAATCAGTAAAAACTTGTCACTTTTTGTGCAGGGGTTGGATTTACTCTCGCAATAAATAAGGCAACCAGTAGAATAGAAAGTAGAATTGATATTTATCAAAGCACACCTCCACTCATGGAGAGAGGAGAAGTTGGTGGGGAGAGAATGTATGCGAACAGGTCTCATTCAGAACATCACAGGGAGCACTTGGTTGTTGCTTTGAACAGGGACTTCGAAAGGAAGCCAACGAGCGAAAGCAACACACCCATTGGGAGGGGGCTTGTTTTTACACTTGTGGTTCACAGGAGCCCAGCAAGTCCTGTCTGGCAATCCCCATGTTTGGGCTTGTCTCGCATGTCATGTGTCATCCCTCTCCCGTAATGTTCATTTCGATGCCATCACGCTGAAATGAGCCGTTGTGCATGTGCTTAATGTATTTGGCTTGTCCCCACCAAGTAAACAAGCTCCGCCGTGACATGATGCTGGACCGCATGGTGTGCCAGAAGATATTGTAATCTTCAGGCCATTGAGAGAACGATAGTAAGACGATCTTGCGAACCGATTGGATGCAAAGAGTGGGGTCCACCCACCCTGCAAACCAGCCACGACACACGTTCGGAACCATGCGCCCAGGTGCGACATGAGCTTCAATATGTGGGGTTGAAAGACCTACTCGTTGGGTGTGAGTATGGCTGGGCATGGACTCCACTATACAAAGGACAAGTAGACAGACGCTACAGTATCCGTGTCAGTGTTTTGGCCTGGCACACATCATTGTCATTTCCCAAGGCTCTTTTTCGGTTTAGGAGCCCATCACACAAGGCAGCTAGCATGGTAGGCCGCCAGACATAGGCGGGGGTGTACCAAACCATGAGGGATAAGCCGTGCCTGCCGCGCGACCGCAGCGATTTTGCGCCTCAAGGCCCTTGACCGGTGCACGCGACGCGCGCGCCCGATTCGAATCGATGGCAGCCGTTCGCAGCCTGATTTTTGCCCTGTTAGCTGTGTTCGCGAACGCGAGTACGGTGCAGGTGACTCGTCAGGTGAGTCTGGCCTATGGAAACTGGCGGAGACGAGCCTTTCTTTTGCCAAATGCTCCCTAACATGTCGGGAGTGAATGTTCTCCTTTTCAAGCGAAAGGGTCGAGAATGTCCTTGGTGCCCGGCCTCTGTAATATGGATGGGGATCTCACTTTCACCACACATTCCATGCTTACGCTTGATGTTCACTTCAGCCTCCCAATGGTTGGGGACAATTCGGTTCAGAAGCATGAATCAAGAGGTCCCGAGTTTTGGCACATTTGTAGACTTTTGGTTGGAGTTGTTGTTCATCAAGGGTTATCCATTCGTCTGCGTGTGTCTTAGATCATATCGTTTGGATGGAAACAATCTAACCTCAATCCCGAGATGTTCAGTAGCACTTCATGTGTGCTTTGTGGGCTCCCCAGGGTCACAGGATTCTGTGAGGTAGCCCCAAACCTTAAATGGTTCCTTTTCCTGCCAGGGTTTTGCTTCTTTGAGGTTGATGGCAGCGGCACCACCAACCCCTCCAAGTTCTTCTGGAAGCTCATGGAGATGATCAAGGCCGATCTCGGCTGGGGGAACCAGAAGGGTTGCCCCTTGGAACTAAAAGGGTTCCCGGAAATGCTGGGGCTGGGGTTCAAAGTGACAGTCGCAGCCAGGTCCATGGCTGCGAATCAGGGCTGGAGATTCGATCCAACAAACTAAACCGTCGCAAAGAAAAGCGCGGGGCTAATCCGCCGTTCCCCAACAATGAGAGACCCGCCATTTTGGATATTGGTCTTAAATGAAGCTCAGAAACCAACCATTTGGGTTCTACTTGATGCCGGATCGCGGACCATATCCCAGGTACTGACCCTAAAGGAGTAAAACGGGGGGAATACCTTTGGTTTTCACTACCAATTCCCACAAAAAACGGGTGTATACCGCCATAGCCAACATGTAAAGGGTACTGCCATTCTCCTTTGAGAAGGGGTTTGGGTGGACCTGTGCTTGTAGCCCTTTCAGCTTTGAGCCATTCGGCTCGAGCCGTGCCCTTTCTCATGCCGAGCCTTTTGGAGAGCTCGGCGGATGGCGACTTCGGGAAGAAGTCGGTGACTGCGCTGCAGAAGTTCCTGAACCAGGAGGGTATGAAGAGGGAGTCCTTTGGGTTGTCACAAGCATCCCAAAGAGAAAAACCAAGATGAAGGCACCAAGGCACCCGCGTTTTGACACCTACCCAGAGTTTGCCTCAATATGTTTTCCCCCAAATGGCGGCTGCTTTCAAGCTGCAGTGGAAAACAGCTTCGAATAGCTGCGTTGGCCTCAAAAGCTGTCAAACTTTGACCGGGCAGAAGTGATGTTGCACTTGAAGGCAACACTTGCTCCTTGACAGCTCAAACATTGTTTTTTGCAGCACCCGGCTCAGCTCTGACGCGTAGCACGATGACCACCTGCATTCTGGGCCAACTCTGCGTCGCGCTCATTCTGCAACGGCAATAGCAATGGGCATGTTTGTTCGACGTCACAGTCCAATACCAAAGCGGTCAAGACACGTCGCATGCCTGAACCCGACGCTGACAAGGACATCTGGAAAGGCTTTATTTGGAAAGGCTTCCTTTCGAAAGGCGCACTTCCGTGATTGTTGGAGGGAGTGTGGGTGTGCCACTATGGTCCTTGTTGTTTGTGCTGTCAAAGGTTCAAGTCCCAACACTTCCTTGATACTGAGATTTATCTACCCTTCCAATGCAAGCAGGAAGCTTAAGGAAGACTTCCCTCTTGGGAAAACGACCGTCCGCTTCCATTTAAAGAGATTTCCCCCTTGATCGGTTGATTCCCCACTATTTTCAACCAGCGCTGGTTTGACCAAACCAGCCGTTCTCCTTGGGTGAGATTGAAGCGAAGTTACTGGCTGCGAGGAGGGCTTCTACTGTGGATCAGAGGACGGCGACTGGGGGAACACCACAGAAAAGGCCCTACAGCTGTTTCTCAAGGATGCAGGCTACGAGGTCGACTTCAAGCGAGGCGTCCGTGACTTGCCTGCGTCATCATACTTAGCTCGGTTTGTGTTTCCTGGGCTTTGCGACTCTTGAAGAGGGGTCGGTCCCCCAGTCGAGTTGACGCCAAACAATGGGGCAGGTCCGCATGGGAAGCGTGGCGTGGGGATCCGCTTTCGATGTGTCCATCTCATGTTCGGGATTTCTCGGCTTGTATTTCAGGCCAAATGAAGTTATCCCACAGAGCATCCCCAGAAAAGTGGTTCTCTTGCCCCTCTCTCACCGGGACCTGTTTGGCTAGGCTAAGAGGGTGCTACCTATGTATCCAGGTAGGGTACTCCATTCCTTCCCAGGCTGGCCAAACGAAGTGACCCGGGTTCCTGTCTCGTTTGTTTGAGCATGGTTCCTCAAAGGATTTATTTGGGATCAGAAATCCCCCCCAACAGAAAACAAGAAAGAACAGATCCAGCTGATTTGGAGATTCCTCTTGTAAAGAAGGTGGCTTTCGGATGTATATTCACTTGCCCAGAGCCGACCTTTTAACCATCTAAAATTTTACCTTGCCTGATTTGCCCATATTAGTCAAGGTTCTACAATGTGAACCTGTTATTTCCAGGTCCTCTGGGCAAGTGAGTTAAACCCTTGGGAGGGTAGTTTCTCGGTCTTTGGGTCGCGTGTCGCTTCTCGCTGGGCGAGGCGACGGCGGAAGGAATACAGAGCTCTTCCAGGAGTTCCTGCAGGAGTGGGCAGCAGGGCCGGAAACGCTGTGCGGGGGAAAAAAGGGATTGCAGGATGTTTTTCCGGCATTCCTGGTCAGAACCCTCTACCCACGTTCCCTACCAACAGGCATGTCTTGTAAAGGTATTCTGAATGAAACAGCTGTTGAAACCCAAGCGAAGCTGTAATCCTGAAGATGGATGCCTGGCCCCATGTACCCGGCATCGGACGCAGGACGAGGACCAAGACTGCAAGCCTGATGGGGACTGGGGGAAGAAGTCTGCCAAGGCTTTGCAGAACTTCCTCAAGGGCCAGGATGAGGGTTGAAAAACCGAAGGGACGAAAAGGGGAGGGGTGCCCAGGAGAGAAACATGGCCGAAAGACCTGATTTGGCACAAGGGATGGCATTTGAGCAGCGAAACCCCCAGCCCAACACCCCCGCAAACAACATGGACCAATTTGAGAGGTGGTTGAAAGGTCCTATCTGGTTTCATTGGAGTTTATAGCCAAGGCCTACGTCAGAAACCTTGATAGCCCCCAAAAGTGAACGGGCTTCGGGCGCTTGGAGCGTACCTCTTGTTGCCCAGAATTGGCGAACTTTCTCACGTCACATGTTGTTCAAGGACCCCGAAGTTCAAATATCTGCCTGACTGCGTTATGGCCAAGGTGGTTCCACTGCTTTGACCTTGCGTACTAGGGTTGGCCCGTACTTGGATGCTGGGTGTTGTGATTCTCTTCGACACCTGGTGTTTGATCAGTCGTGCTTGGCGCACCTTGCTTGAAGCAAGTGGTGCGCTGTTGAACATAATTGGATGTTCTGTAGGTGTTGTTCTTTGCTTAGCAAGTTGTTTTTGACCCTTCTTGGATGTTAGGCTGGATGTTTGGCAAGTGGTCTTTTGTTTGACATTACTTGGTTTGCCAAATGTGTTATTTCCTGTTATGCTTGCCCGGGGATTCGGAAAGTAGTTTTGCCTGTTATGTTGCCTTTTTATTTGGCATGCGTTTGAGGCTGATTTTATATGTTTTCCTAGGCTTTGGCGTGGTGTTAT